GAAAGAACAAACTGGCCGCTTAACTCGGGGGCTCTGGCAATTGATTTAATATTATCTCTATGTGCTGTGGATAATGACGAATTCCAATTTGGGAAAGCTGTTGCTAAAACAAATGTAATGTTTGGGTTCTAGAGATGCAGGAGCCAAAAGGTCACCTACTGGCTTGTGCCAGTCTTCTCTAGTCTGATTCCTTGTGAATGTCAAGGTATAATCTCTCTGGAACTGATAAGAGTCTACTTTATTTGGAATTTGAGATTTTTTTTCTAGATCTAATTTCATGACCTTCTAGGTCATGATATAAGGATACACACACACACACACATATAATATATATACACTAAAACCTGTTGCTTTCCTAAAATCATAGTGCGCCCCCATGCTAAAGAAGAGCAGGAAGGGGCCAGCAGGTGGTGTGGTGAAGGCACTGGACACTCCCACAGGGCTGACCACAGTTTGAGTCCTGAACCTGGTGGCTTGCTTTCCCACTTTCCCTCTCTCTGTGTGTGTCTCTCTCTGGTCAAATGAAAAGGAATGAATGAATGAATAACATTAAATAAATAATTATTAAAATATTTTTCAAAAAAAAAGAAGAAGAAGCAGAAGAGCAGGAGGCAAAAGGGAAAAGTCCAAGGAAAAATGACTGAGTGTAAAAATTATGGTTGTCAGACATTTGTATAGACTAAGTATGATTTAAGAAGGTAATCTGGAGGACCAGCAGTTAGCATAATGGCTATGTCGCTGGACTCCCACATAGTGGACCCAAGTTCGCATCCCGGACCGGTGGCTTAAAACTCACACCGGGCGCGTGTGCATGCGTGCCCAAGATCCGGAGAGGAGAACAGAGGAGAAGGGATTGCAGTGTGGCCATCCCCCCTGGGGGTGATTTCTTGCTTTTTGTCTCTCTGTCTCTCTCTGTCTTTCTGGTGAGCACACGCGCCCTATATCAAAAACCTCTCCAAAAAAAAAAAAATTTAAAAAGAAGGTAATTTCGGGGTCAGCATGTGGCATGGTGGTTAAGGGCACTGGACTCCCGCATGGCTGACCATGGTTCAGGTCCGGGACCTGGTGGCTTGCTTTCTCACTTACTCTCTCTCTCTCATTCTGTCCCTGTCTGGTCAGATTAAAATTAATTAATTAATTAATTAATTAATTAAAAGTTAAATAAAATAATTCTTTTTTTAAAAAGAAGACAACTTAAGGGGGCAGCAGGTGGTATGGTAGTTAAGGTACTGGACTCCCACATGGCCAGCTGTGGTCTGAGTCCTGGACCTGGTTACTTGTTTTCTCACTTTCTCTTTCTCTCTCTTGCTTCACTCACTCTTGCTCTCATTCTCTCACTCTCTTGTGAGCACATGTACCCTACAACAAATTTAAAACTACTACTACTAGTAATGATAAATAAAATGAAATAGTTTTTAAAAGAAGATCATTTGTTTATTTTGTATTATTTTATTTCATTTTATTTATTCACTCATTTATTTTAATTTGACCAAACACACACACACACACACACACACACACACACATACACACACACACAGAGAGAGAGCACATACACACACACACAGAGGGAAAGTGAGAAAACAAGCCACCAGGTTCGGGACTCAAACCATGGTTGGCCATGTGGGAGTGTCCAACACCTTAACCACCACACTACCTGCTGGTCCCCTAAATGTTTAAATATCAGGAGGACTAGAGTAGACTACTTGCCCCAAAATGGTTATTAGGAAGTAATTAGTCTTATAGAATTAAAGCTATAGTAGCGTCCTGGACAGCCTGGAAGAGCACAGAATTAACATTCAGATGTAGGATGCTGATTGTTCCAAACTAAATAAATATTTAGTGCCATTCAGTTAGGCTATCTGCATCTCTGCTACTTTTGGATTAAACATGTGCTGATAGAGTATAAGGGGAGGGTGGCAAGGTGGTGTGATGGTTCAGGCAGCTGAAAAACAGGCGTGCAAGCATGCCCAAAGTCCCCAGAGGCAAATGGAAGACAGAGGATGAAGCTGAGATGCCTACATGGGCTGCACGCACCCTATAGCAATTTTTTTTTAAAGAGTAATAAAATGACATGCCCAACAACACCCTCAACTAATCTAGATTCTACTACGTAGAAACTATATGTGTTTGGGACATCTCTTCTGGCAGACTGAAGGGCAAGAAGGCTTTGCAGATCAGTGACTTGTCTTCACATCTGGAATGTTAGTGCTTTGCCATTCAAGATTTTATGCAGCTATGCATACAAGGAAAGCAGAAATCAAGAAACAACAGACTTGGGGCTATTTTGACAACGTAAGCAAAGCTGAGTGCACTAGGGAAAAAAAATCTGGGAAGAGGTTATTCTTTCACTCTGTTCAAAATTTCTTTATAAGGACCCTTGAGAACTTTGCAAAAGATGGTTCAAGATGAAAAGAAAAAGAAATGCAGTTTGTGTTATTACTGAGGTCTTAATCATAAGGGTGTACTGTAAAGATGCATTCACTTACATGACCTTTCTGATCTTCCTGTTACCAAAGAGGAAGTGGTAGCTCAGAGGCTGTGATCTCCCCAAGGTCAGGCAGCTGGTAAACAGCTGCCTATCTCTAAAGCAAGGATTAAATAGGGGCCCTCAAACCTTTTCTTGCCATTCTGTAGCTGAGAGTTCTTTAATTTGTTACCTTCTCTTTATTTTCCCAAACGGTCGTATTAACAAATAACAGAAAAACATGCTGTCTATATATCATGAATTATTTACATAATATTGCTATTTGAGACTTTTTCTTGACTACTGTAGGCAACTTACTGTCTTATTAGTGAACAATTCCGTTAGTGAACAATTCAACTCACTGTCTTATTAGTGAACAGACCATCTTGTTCATTTTGGTGCATGAATATGATAAAGCTAAAAATTCTTCGCAGGAATGAAAAGAGTTGTTTTCTCTTTCATATATACCTTCTTTTTTTGACATGAGTTCCACAATATTTGTACTCTTTATCCCATGTTTATTCTAAATTCAATCTTACCATGTATTAATACCATGCCAATATTCCTGTAATTATTTTTCGAAAAGATTTTATGCAAAAAGAACCTTTTAGAATGGTAACTTCCTTCCCTAAATCGAAGAATCCTATATCCAAGGATCTCCCACGCCTTAGTTAGAAGTCACTTTCAGAAGGCGGGTAGCCAGCACAGGCAAATCTCAAGGCTTCCCAATGTGGCTGCGCGGTAGGGGGTGAGAATCTCGGCCCTTTCCGGGTCTGCTCCGAGCAGATCGCTCAGAGCGCGGCCCCACAACCGCATCTCTTTCCAGAGCGCGCGCGCCCCCTGGCGGTGTAACCCAAATGCACGCCGCGCCGAGAGCCGGGGATTCCGGGCTCTCACCTCCCAGCTCCCCAACCCCTACTCTGAGCTGGACGCGGTCGGATCGGAAAACTCATGGGTTTAAAATAATTTGAGGCGCCCCTGTGTAGGCGTCCCTAAGCTCCTCGGGCTGCGCTGCCCCTCGCGCCACGTCCCGTGTTCTCTGGGGCTTGCTCCGGGGGTGACACGGTGTCCTGGAGCCCGAAGCGCGGCGGTCTCACGGGAAATGCGCTAGTTTCGGAGCCCGGGAGGCTTGGCAGACGTGCCGCAGCGAGCCGGGGCCCCTCCCTGGCCGGCGATCCGCGCGCAATGAGGCCGAGCCTCGGGAAAGGGAAGAACTTGTAATCGCTTGCAGAGGGACAATGCCGACTTTTGAACCTCTAACCACTAAGCAAACAACCCTTGTGCTCTTGCTCCACTGTCCAAACAGGGTTTATTGATAGGCGTTTCACGGCAACGCATAGCAACCGCGGCGACGGCCAGGGGGCGGGCGTGTGGGCGCGGCCGGGGTCCGGGCCCAACCTGGGGCCCGCGCGCCCTCCCCGCCCGGCAAACCCGAGGGGCGCCGGGGATCACACCAGCCCCGAGACGGGCCTGCGAGCCACGTAGCCACGCCGGGGGCTCGGCACCCCGCGCCCCAGCGACGGCCCAGGCCCCTCCCCCGGCTCCGAGCCCGGCGCCCCGGGGCCCAGCCACCCCAGCCCTTTCTCAATCCTGGCGCGGAATGCGTCTCCCGGAAGGGCCCCGGACCCGCGAGGTGCTGCAGCGGATGCTTGTGCCTCCTGCCGTCTCCCAGCTCCGCTCATCCTGCCCTGCAGCCCTCGAGGCGCCGCCTCCCTCTGCCCAGGCGCCGGTCAGGCTCTTAGGTGCTGTGGGAAGATCGCAATGGAGGGCAAGCCCTTTTCCCCAGGTCCTGCCGGGAGCTCCCGGCGCGGCGGCCTCGGGGACCAAAACCTCCAGGGCGGCCGCGGGTCCCGGGTGGGGACCCAGAGAGGGAGCAACTGGAAGGATCTTCTTACACTGGCTCTTGAGTTCTCGCCTGTGGACGTGAGTGGGAGAGGATGGGAGAAGGAAAGCCGCGGACCCGGCACGTAGTGGAGCAGTGAAGGTTCGCGGAAAAGCCAGGGATTCACAGACGGCAACAATGAGAGCGGTGTCTTGGGACCACAGGACCCAAACTGTTTCTTACTGCGGCTTATGTTTAGCAGGAGTGTGGGATCTTTGTGAAGGGAGTCGCTGCAGTGTGGATTTGATGCCCTGCCAAGAGGGGCCCTCTCACCCCCACCCCTCATAATTCCCGAGCTGCTGGAAAGCCGCTGACTATTCAGATGTGCATTTTGCCCAAAGGCACCCCCAGGAGAACCACACATTCCACAATCTAAGGCTGGGCTCAGGCTTGGGGGCAGGGAAGGTCCCAGAACCTGCTCCCTCGGGCTTCTGCTGCTCTGGGGTAAAATGAGGCTGTCCAGATAACCTTCTCCACCCCTTTTCTGATTTTTCCAATTCTAGCTTGCACGCAGAGGAGATATTTCATGTCTCTAAAATAATAACAACAACAATCCTTCCAAACAAAAGCTAAGGCAGATAAATACAGAATCTAAAATCTGGAAAGTTCATTTATCTTTTTTTTTTTTTCCTTTTTAGAAAAATTCGACTGTGTTCAAATATCCCCCACTTCCCTTCACCATATCACTTCTCCCCCTTGGATCCAGAAGGCTTTTAAAATGCTGGCTTGGATGTTACACAGATCAACAACACACACAGCAGCAACAACAACAAAAAACGCCCCTTCTTCATCAGCCCCAAGATTGTGAAAATGACAGGAAGTCCAGATTGGCTCTGGCATTTATAGCACTAACATACATTCAGCCCAGAGAAGCTCTGGTGACAGGCTTTCTAAACAAGGCCCTGCCGGGCCGCGTCAGGCCTGGAGTCCCATAAGCACCCCCTTCATACCACAGGCCACATGTACACCAGCCTGGCCTTGAGTGGTCTGGGAAGGGAGGAGGACGCAGGCCTCCCGGGGTTCTGCAGTCTTTGGTCATCCAGCTTCTATCTCAGCTGCCTCCGGCTTCTGCAGCTTTAGTCTTGCCTGTCCCTGAGGCAGGAGGGCCAGCTAGTCCTCTGGCAACGGCAGTGACACCGCAGCCATCTTGGCTCCAAGCATGGCGGTTCCCTGAGTTCCTCTCTCCCCTCAGCTCCAACCAGCGATGCAACCTGCAGGCTTTGGAGGCAAAGAGCAGAGGAGGAGAAGGCTGAAAGCCTGGTTGCTGTAGCCAGCCCAGACCATGCTTCTGCCAGGACCTAATGAAGCTCCAGTGGTCATGTCCTGTCTTCTCTCTGGCAGAAAGGGTCAGCCTGGAAAAAGTCCAAATCTGGGAGGATATCTTCCTTGAGGTTCCCAATCCCACCGGTCTTTACTCCTGGTCCCGTTTTTCCTCTCAGAGCTAGGACTGTAGTACGTGTTTGTGGGTGGGAGGGTACGGGTTTCTTCTGCGGATTCTAGCAGAGTCCTTGCTCCTCACAACTCAGCCTGGAATCGCTCTGCTGCTGCAGGCCACTGCGGGTCACTGAGTGACAGTGGGGTTTAATACCCCTCCAGCTGGCCCCAGAACCCCAGGGACAGAACCAGGCACTGCGCCTTGCAGAGAAGACACTGGACTCAAGGGCTCTGGGACGCTTCTCAGAGGACCTGGCTGGGACTGGGGAGGCTGTGGAGGAGGTGGGGGCTGCTGCTGCTGCTGCTGCTGCTGCTGGCTGCTGCTGCAACTTCTTTTTGTTGATTTTCCTTTCCTTTGCTCTGCGGTTCTGAAACCAAATTTTAACCTAGAAATGGAAAAGTAGAGAAAAACAGAAGGAGGTGAAGAAGGTGTGAGGGAAAAGAATAGAACCTAGCAATAGCACTGATATCTCCCCTCCAGGGCCAGCCGGTAGCATCGTGGGTAAGGCGGCTGGATCCCACACGGCCAGCTGCACAATTGGAGTTCTGGATCAGCGGGCTAGAAAGGCATGGCGGGTATGTGTGCGTGCATGCCCAAAAGCTTGAGAGGAGAAGGGTTAGCAGGTGGCCACTCCTCCATGGGGATGCTTTCTTACTTTCCCCCTCTCTGTCTCTCCCACAAGTGCAGTAGTACCCTGTAGCCAATTTAACTCCCTCTCCAAAATAAGAGGTCGGCCCCTTCCAGAAGCTTTCACTGGATATCCCATAGCAGCCCAAGCTGAGCTGTTCCCAAGCCCACGTGAGCCTCACGAGAAGTCATCCTTCTCCTTTGCCCCCCCCATCTCTCTCCAAAGCACCTTTAATCTACATCTTTACTCAGAAAATTTCAGTCCCACATCCAAGGGAAACAGAAACGGTAAGGCTTTTCCACACCAGCAAGACAAGCTAGAGCAGGTGTACTTCGGATGGCAACCTTTGGCCCCTCGAGGCTAAACTGAAATGTATATAATAGTCCCCACCTCGGAGCTGAAAATGAAATGTAACATGGGACTTCCTGGCTCTGAATTTTTTTCATCTAGACTGTGTATGGCGAGTGTTCATGAGTGTTCTCGCCCCTCTGTTTCTAATGAGCAGGGACCAGGTCCTTCATCTGGGTTTTGCGCCTAGTGGTGGGCACACAGACAATAGGTATTGAGTACGTCTTTACAGACCCAACTGGAATCTTGATTAAACTAACACTCTTGACTTTTTTTTTTTTTTGCACCTCTCAGATTCCTCAAAGTACAATAGGAAAAAAAATCAGTAACAACACAAAAACAAAACCAAAAATAAACCGAGGTAGGAGGCCTTTAAAAAGCACTGGAACGGTAAATGTCTTGTCCTCCTGCTTTAACCCATCGCAGAACTAGGTGGACCCTGTGGCCTGCCTTGCGGCCACAGGAAGGCACAGCCAGGTTGGGGGACAGGGCGGTTCCCACCTGCCTCTCAGAGAGCCCCAAAGTGGCAGCCAGCTCCGCTTTCCTCCGGATGGTGATGTAGCGACTGTAGTGGAACTCCTTCTCCAGCTCCAGCCGCTGGTGGTCCGTGTACACCACTCGGTATTTGTCTTTCGTCCTGGTTTTCACTGTGAAGGAAGAAGAAGTTAGGGCTGAGAACTGCAGGGCAGCCCATCAGTCATGGGTAATGACAAACCTCCCTAACCCAGGGGCCATTTCTCTTCCTCCACCACCCTGGGGGGCCTGGTTTGGCTGGTTCCTGCCAAGTCTGACAAGACCCCCCAGAGGGTCCTGGAGAGGGGAGGATGTGAGACTGGGGGTGGGGAACTAAACTAACCTTGGGTTAAGTGGTTTTTAAAAATTTAGAAAAGCTCAAGCCTCAGACATACAGCAAATAACAGAACCCAACCGCCCTTTCTGTAAACAAAATATCCTACAGGAATATATTTAGCTCCAAGGAGGGTGGACAGGCAGAGTGGCCAGAGTCCCAGGAATATCCAGAGTTTCGGGTGCACCAGAGGCAGAAGCAACTGGAGCTGTGGGTGCACCTGGTCCGTCTGCAGTGAAAGGGGTGGGGGCGTGGGAGCTGGCAGTTCCCTGAGCCGATGAGAATCATCCCAAGCCCACCACGGGAATTTGGAGCGAGGCTCAGGCAGTGACCATACACCTGCCTGAGCCAGCTTTGGCATGTGGCACTTTGTATTTTTTAAACCTCCATTCATTTCCACTGCAAACCCTGCTAGAGCGATCCTGACCAGTGATCTATGCTCATTGGATTGAGTCAACATATTAAATCTTGGATTGATTGTTTTACTGAAGGGCCTTGACAAATAGTGTCCACACTATTGGAACAGGCCCCAGCCTGGCGTCTCCACCGGGTCTGTCCTGGGTCAGCTCTTAGCAGACCCCTGACCAAGAACTGTTCTCTGCTTGGGTCCCTCTTCGGGGTCTTCTAGCAGCTGAACAGGTTCAGTCGCCCAGTGCCCAGTCCCGCAGGAAGTTTAAAGGGTCTGGGACTTGCTTGGAGGTGTTTAATGCCCCGCAGGCCAACTTTGTTCAGGTAAAACCCTTTGCTAACCACAACAAAAGCGCCCTGGGAAGATACAGACGGGATCAGAGGGAGCTCCCTCAAGCCGCTGAAAGGGGAACACAGCCACAAACAATGCAGGACAAGGCGATCTTATCAAAGAAAAGCCCTTTCAATGCCTTAATAACAACCGCATTCTGTTTGAATTACCACTACTGAGCAAATGGCGGCCCGGCTTTCATCCCCCTCCCCGCCAGGCGCATTAACATAAACACGGCACGCCAGGCGCATTTGAATGGGCGCTGCGGCCCGACCCCGCGCCAGCAAAGTAAAGGGAACTAAAAGTTCCAGAGAGCCGCCTGCGTGGTGGGCGCGCTCACGCGCATTTCCTCCTTCTATCCATTGGGGGCTGCCAGTGGTACTCGCCCCTTTTGTCAGATGAGAAAACTGAGAATCAGACCAGGCCACCCAGATAGTACCGGCGGGAGCGGCCCTGGAGCCTGGCTGGAGCCGCAAAGGACACCTCCAGGGCTGGGAGCGGGACGCCCCTGAAGGGGCGCGCAGAGCAGCCTTTGCAGGGTCCCAGAGCAGCCGGAACGCGGTGGCCGAGGGTTCTGTGGTCTGCGCCCCGAGGGTCTTGGAGGCGCCCCGCACCCCCTGGGAACTAAGGAGGGGGGCTGAAGGAGGGGCGTGATGAGAGGGACTTGTCAGAATTCATTATTGACTGCGAAAGTCACCACCCTCTTTCCGGGCCCTAAAAAAGACAATGGTAGGGCTGGGAAGGTGTATATCAAAGCGGTCCGGGCCGCGTACCCCACAACCCCCCCGCCCCGCGCCCCTTGACAGATGACGCTCTGCAGAGGAGTTCGGGCTTGGCCTGCCGGCTGCGGCCTCCCCACATTAACATCACAAGGGCGCCCGGCGCCGACCGCGGCCTTGCCACCTTGGCGCGGGACTTCACAGCGTCCTCTCATCTGCTGACCTCGCGGCCTGGGCTCCTACGGCCCCACCTCGCCCCCCTCGCTCAGCCCTAGCCCCGCGGACGCGCAGAGGTCTTCCCTGGGCTGCCCCGATCCACACCAGCCACACCCACAGCCGGGCTCGGTGGAAGGCGGTCTGAATGCTTGAGTCTGGGGGTGCGCCCTGCGAGGACTGGGGCCTCCTTGTGGGGAAGGGGTCCCAGTTTTAGGACTCTGCGGTCCACCCGAGGTTGACTGGCAGCCTTCCCCCCTGCAGACCCGTTTCCCACCAGGACTCCCCGGCCAGTGCACGGTGACGTAGAAACTGATCCGCAGAGACGGCCCCCACCAGGCTCTCGGTTAGACGGTGGTAATTGGCTATAAACCTCTGCACAGCGGCCGTACCGAACGCAGGCCGGCTGGGTCGGCAAAGGGGGAAGCGGGAAAAGCGGAAGCGCTGAGGGGTGGGGAAAGCCTTCATGGAGTAAAAAGGGGACTCCAATAGGACTCTCCCCACCACACCTGTTCACACTTCCTGCCCACCTCGACGCACATCCCTACACCAGAAGGAACAGCCCTGGAGTCAATGAGTCCCCCAGTCCAGAAACCTAGAGACTTTATGTGAACAACCCTGAGTATTTCTCTCTCTCTCTCTCTCTCTCTCTCTCACACACACACACACACACACACACACACACACGACCCTTGAAAAACAGCTCCGGAGAAATGACCCTTGTATAGAGGAGAGGCTGAAGCCCTGCTGGGGTTTTCTGCCCTTCTCCCCTGATTAGCAGAAACCTCTTGCCACTAGCCTTCCAGCTTTTGCTTATGACCCCTTCCACCATCCGTGGCTCGGAAACCTGTCCCCGTGCCCTCGGCCTCCGGGGCCGGCTCGCTTTGATTCTCCAGCGACAGTAACTTTCCCGTCTCTCTGCTCGCTGTAGCACCCATCCCTGGAATTGACCCGAATGGCCAAACCTGGTCCCACGCGCAGCTTCGACTTCCTCGACACCACCACCACCCCGGGTTCCCAAGCCTTCTCCCTTCTTGGGTGGCTCCGACAGGGAAGGAGAGCGCAGAGATACGGTTTAGACACGGCTTGCGAGAGCTCAGGAGTTCGAGGCTCTCTGTCCTCCCAAACCAGGAGCGGCGCAAGGAGGGCGGGCGGCAGCAAATAGGCAGGCCGCGGTTCCGTTCGGGTCCTGCTGTGCTCATTCCAAGATCCCCAGGAGCTTCCTGAAGGTGTCCCGGGATGAAGAATGAGGGATTGTTGGAAAGAGGAAGCCGCCCTAAACTGAACAAGGGATTGTGCCACCCATTAGATGCACTCTCAGGAGCCGGCGCTAGAGAAGCCCCGAAGAGCCAGAGCCCCCTGGATTTGTGGCCCCTGCCTCGCCCCTTCTGGCGCGGAGCTGGGAGACAGCCCTGGACGCCCCTGTGAGCTCGCGACGCGCGGCCGGCCCCGCAGCCGGGGGCCGGGCCGGCGCCTTCCCAAGGAGCCCTTCCTCCCCGCGCCTCCGCCGCTTACCTTGGCTTCCGAGGGATTGCTGCGCCGGCCTCCGC